GACACAATACTCCAGATGCGGCCTCACCAGGGCTGAGTAGAGGGGCAGGATCACCTCCCTCGACTTGCTGGAGATGCTCTTCTTAACGCACCCCAGGATTCCATTGGCCTTCTTGGCCACAAGAGCACACTGCTGCCTCATGGTCAACTTGTTGTCCACCATGACACCCAGGTCCTTTGTCTGCAGAGCTGCTCTCCAGAAGGTCAATCCCCAGCCTGTACTGGTGTCTGGGGTTATTCCTCCCCAGGTGCAGGACCTTGCACTTGGCCTTGTTGAATTGCACGAGTTTTTTTACCGCCCAGTTGTCCAGTGTGTCCAGGTCCCTCTGGATGGCAGCGCAGCCCTCTGGGGTATCAGCTACTCCTCCCAGTTTCGTATCATCAGCAAACTTGCTGAGGCAGCACTCCGTCCCTTCATCCAGGTCATTGATGAATAAATTGAACAGGACTGGACCAAGGACTGACCCCTCGGGGACACTGCTAGCTACAGGCCTCCAAGGAGACTCTGTACCACCAGTCACCACTCTCTGGGCCCTGCCATCCAGCCAGTTCCTAATCCACCTCACTGTGCACTCATCTATCCCACACTTCTGGAGCTTGCCCAGGATGTTGTAAGGGACGGTGTCAAAAGCCTTGGTGAAGTCAAGATAGACGACATCCACTGCTCTCCCCTCATCTATCCAGCTGGTCATTCCATCACAGAAGGCTATCAGGTTAGCCAAGCATGCTGACTATGAGCACCTTCTGTCCTCCATGTGCCTGGAGACAACGGCCAGTATGAGCCGTTCCATCACTTTTCCGGGGACGGAGGTGAGGCTCACTGCCCTGTAGTTGCCTGGGTCCTCCTCCTTGCCGTTTTTGAAGACTGGTGTGACATTGGCTTTCTTAATGTTTCTTCCACACAGAGAGTCCGTTGATTAAAAAGCAGGATGGAAGGGCAGAATATTATTAGCCTTATTATGCAGTGCTGCCAACACACTCTCTAATCAGGTTACCTTCATCTGAGCAAGTACACGGTGAACTGCCTCCTTTCCACGCATTAGTCCATAGCAGTTCTTGGGAAATAGTTATGGGAGACCTGGGGAAATTGCACGGCCAGTATATTTATCAGCACATGTCAAGCACAACAATCGCCCTTCGCTTCTCCTCCTTCCGTGCATTTCTTTCCTTTCCTAAAACGTGCCCTTTTGCATTTCACAGCAGAAATTGCCTTTGTGTAACAGGCTGAACACACTGTTTTCAGCCAGCACCACTGCAGACCAGCCCATGCCTACTGATAATTTGCTTTATTTCTCTGCTGTTCCCCAGTTATCAACTGCTCCTCTCTGCTGTTTTTGTTTAGCCTGGCACATCTCGCAGTGTGTATGTTATTCCCACATGCAGAAAGGCTGGTGTTGCTGTGCAAGCAAAAAGTCCCTAGTGGAAATGCTGCTTATGCCAGCAAGAGCTCTTTTGATTGACAGAAGCTAAACAGCTTTATTTCCCTAAGAAAAAGAAAATCAAAAGGAAAAAAACAGTAATTGCTTAAAGTAATTTCTTTGCTGGAGTAACTACATCCAGCAGTCTTGCACCAAGACAGACCAACACGTGTACTAGCCCATACCAAGCCCAACAAAGCCTGAATGCATCACACCTTTTTTCCATATCCATGGATGCAGCCATCCCATCAGAGTTTTTAAGGGTTCGTAGGTGAATTCTCATCGCTCTTAGGACAATTTAATTATAGAGCAGCCCCAAGCCTACGCGTCCCAAGGGTGGACTTACATGAGTGAGTTACTTGCATCTGCCTTCAGAGCAAGACTCCAGAGAGGTAGGACTTCATGCAGTGCTTGCTTTGAGTGCAGTCTACAGTTAAATGCCAATCTCTAGATACTCAGGTTTTGGAAGGTTTAATTCTCTGAAGAAAATATATATATATATGTTCTGCAGTGCTTTAGGAGGTAATTTAATGTCTCATGCTGAGCTTGTTACTCGAAAGCCAGGAGCAGACAAAACTGGCCTTTCTTCCTCACTCATGTCCATCAGGACAGCTTCGCCAAAACAGTGTCTTACGCTCGCTTGGCTTTCAGTGTGGCACCAAAGCCAGGCTAAAAGCTGTTTAAAAAGATCTTCCAGCACAAGAAGATACCCAAAGGACAAAGTCTGACATTTTGGATAAATCTAAGCAGATGGCCTTCCCCTTTTTTCAAACAGAGATCTCACTGATTTGCGAAGGACCTACATATATCTTGACAGGGTATCAATGACAATGCAAAGGTCTCAGTTTTGTATTCCATATTGAGACAATTCTTCCCAACCATTTTTCTTCAGTTTTCAGAGCTGTTTTAACATGAGAGAGTCACTATTGCTTTCTCTAAACTCCCTTTTTCAAAGGCAGCAGAGGTTACGTGGCTCTAAAATGCTAAGTGTTTTGATAGCGTTATTTTGAAAAGTTTTTTTTTACCTCAGGCAATTTTAATGGGAAGAGACAAAATAGCATAAAGCATCTTCACATCCACTTATAATCACAAAGGGAAATGTGTTGACTAGAAAACAGCATGGTTACAGGAAAAAAAAAAGAAAGAAATTGCATTTTTCTCTCTCTGCACATACTATTTCTGGTACATACTCAGAAGTGTCTTCATTACAGCTTGACAACGCAGTGGGGGCTAGGGTATATACAGCACTGTATTTGAACGTACAACAAATCAGGAATCTTAGATAACTTAGCATGGACATTTAAAAGAAGATAAAAAAGCCCTCCGACAAGACAGAATGGCTGACATTCAGATGATTCATCATATTTCTCAAATCTCAAAGCATATATTTGCTCTAATGAAGAAATATACTTGGAGAACTATATGAGTATAATTTACTTTGTGAATAGTAAGGTTGAGGTAGGCAGTTACACTGATAAAGAAGATCATGGGGACAAGCACCAAGTCATAATGCTGAAAATCACAGGCAGAAGCGGCCATAGAGTCAGAGCAGTCAGTGAATGAGACAACAGCACTATCTGTGACTGCACAGAGACAGAAATCAGTGAAAATATATCAAGGAGCTAGTTTAAAAATGTATTTTCAAACAGTTATATATTGAATGAAATATCAGTCTAGTCCGCCTAAGCTACCAGAATTAGCCCTACAGGTTCTGTCTAAAGAGCTTTACCCACCAGAAGACGTAGGTTGCTTCCCTCTACTGATCCTTAGTGTCAATATTAAGAGGGAAAGCACAGCTTAAAAAAAGAGTCAGTCCTAGACCACTTTGTAATTACAGATCTTTTGATTAATAATGGGAACCCTCTGTAGAGGTAAACAGGATGACAAAGAAATATACATTGCTGCACATTTAAAGTCAGATAATTCTCTGCAAGCCTGTGTTGAAAGCAAGTTATTTGTAGTGCCTTTGGTTAACACATTTTTCTGAATACAGAATCTCATCTGTCCCTTTCTTAGAGAGACTGAAAGAGAAAAAAGCAACGGACAAAAAGTGACAAGCAATGCAAAATTACTCCCCCTCCAGTCTATTCTGTTACAGAGAATTTGGATGACCCGAGAAGTGGGATGTTCCAAGAGGATACGGTACAAAGAGAGGAATGTTCAATAGCCTTCTGTAGCCTTCAATAATAATACCTGTTCAATTATTACAATGATAGGTTCCTTTAAGACTCCACATTCAGACAGATGAAAAATACCTACCCTACTGCAGACAGCTCAGAGCCAGCCCAAACACAGATACTGAGTGCACCACTGTGTCCTCTGCAGGAAGGAAAAATGTGCCCAGTATCATAACAAAACAGGAGGAAAAACTAACTCCACAGTTTATCTGTTCTATTCTAGACCACAGTATTTTCTGATGCTTCTCAACAACTGCTTTTTTTTTTGTTCAATATTTCTCTTGCTGATTTACACACAATTCACATTGAGACTGGAATCATTAGGTTGCTACAGGCTTGGAGTAGATCAATGTAGGATTTCAGTTCAGTACACACTGTGTGTCACAGGCATTTCCCTCTTACAAATAACAACCATCAGTCACTAGCTCTGCAGGCCCACAGATTTTTTTTAACTGACCAATACTTGGCACTGTCCCTCAACCCCACCTTGTTTTTACTGTAACTGCAACAGGATTTGGACAAGAGGCAGCTGTGTGGCATGACTGGCGTGCACCTCACTGCTCTGCTGCTGGAGATTCTTCCTTGGTCTCCTGCTTCTCCAGCTGTGATTCCGGAGGGATGAGGCACTGAACTTCTTCAGTATTGATCGCCACTTTATCAGGCTGCAGCCACCGCTTTAGGTGTTCCAGTGTGCTAAAAAAAAAAAAAAAAAACAAAGACAAGGACATTGAACATAAAATAACTATAAAAACTTGCAGGAGCATTAAAAACAAAGTCAGAAGAATCCTTCAGATATACTTCTTTCAGTTTTGTAGACACTTCTATTGCCACACATTAGATGGACCATAAAATCATCTGTGTGCTGGAGAAGCAAGCAGGCACACAGAAGCCTCATGCTTGACATCTCCCTGCAACACTGTCAGCAACATATTTAAAAATCAGGACACTGCTCATAAAGAAAACATTTCCAAGTGTAGGAAGCATCTTGAAATAGAACTCAGACTGTTTTGTTGTAGCCTGGCTTTTCAGCTACAGTTGGAAATGTTTTATTTTCTCTTGCTGGTTTTCTTGATGAACACAGTGGTTGTCCTTTTTTGTTAATTTGCTTATTACCTCTCATCAGCTTCATGTTCCTCTACATAAAATTCAGACTCAAACTTCTCCTGCAGGAACCTGTCCCAGCATTCCTTCCTAGCCTGGGAAAGAGTGCGCAGCATATCCTTGGAGGTCACCTCTTGAGACAACCTTTAATTGTCATCAGTCTTCTCTCTGCAAAGAAGCAAAGAAAGGGTCTTTTTTTTCCCCCGTTTTTCTGAGGGAAACTCAGAACTTTTCAATGGAAAAGGTTAAGTAAACTCTTCAAGATTAATTCATACTTAAAATTGAATTACTTTTGCAGAACTTCAGATCTGCATGCCTGTATTTCTTGTATACAGATATTTATATTAGGGACACATCTGAGGAAATAAGCCTTAGGCAGTCAATTCTCCCCAACTACTTCCTATTAACTTCTGCCTGAAAAACTCAGCTTCAATGAAAACACACAAAAGGGTAGAGAACTCCAAGGTTTAAAGTTCCCAGATTTCCATACAAACTGGCATGAAGTATAAACGACCCCAATAGTGGTGTAAAATCCAAATCATGTGCACACAGAGGGAAAAAAAATGCAGTGAGTACAATAGTGTTATTAACTGGATATCCCACAAGAGGAGCAACTGGCGTCATGTTGCTGTGGCACCTTTGATCTGATATTAAGAGCTCTACTTAGCACTCACTGAAATGACAGTCTAAGACAAAAACTGAAGCAAAATGGAAGCTTGGTAGAAATAAAAGCTTAGAAGACCACGTCTGACATCCCTTTCCTTGTTACCTGGGGCCTGCATGACTCTCTGCACAAACCAGTACAACCACACTGCAAAGGAGATTGTGAACTGACCCAAACTCAAAATAACTCCACAGGAGGGAAAGAAAAGGAGAAATAAAAGGGATGTAAAGATGGAGCATTGTCTTGCGAGTAGAGGGAGTGGCTGCCTTGTGTTACCCTCACACAGACTCAGTTACGTGGAGGTGTAAAACCCATAAGTTTTATAATTAGGAGTATAAAGGAGTTCACTTAGGAGCAAGGAGCTCACTTCTGTGCCTCAGCTGGAGATCAGAATCAACCACTGCTGCTGCTCCCACCTGCAGTAATGGACTCCAAGGTGTCCCCAGAGAGGAAGCACCATTGCAGCAGGCACCTCAGGAAGCGCGGAAACCAGAGCCTTCCCGGACACCTACCTAGAGAGGCCAAGTAGACCTGCGAGTCCTTCAGTGGGGCCCAGGGTTTGAGGCCGGCTCGGGAAGAGCTGCCGGACGATGCATCCCCCGGGCCTCCTGCTTCGGCGCAGGCGTCGGCAAAGGAGTCTGCGAAGGCGTCGTGAGTGCCCGCGTGCTCGGGGCTGGGCAGACACGAGCAGATTTGGGCCCAGAGGTCCTCGCCGGACGCGGCCACCACAGGCTCGACGCTCTCGATCATTCTCATGGCAGAGCCCTGAGGGCAAGGAGAGAAACCGTCAGTGCCCCCAGGCCCGAGGGGAGGACGCGCCTTCCCCGCCCTTGGCCCTCCAGGCTTCCTAAGGGGCCCTTCGGGCCCTACCGCGGCGTCCTCTCTCGCCTGCCTGGATCGGGACCCTCCTCCACGAATACGCGGACCCGGACCTTCCTCCACGGCCACCCAGCTCGGACCTTCAACCCGCGCTGTCAACACAGGAAACCGCCCTCACCACAGGCTCTCGCCGCGAGCTGATTGACGTCCAGGCGCGACCAATTGTCGCGCTCCACCGGCAACGGCGAAGCTGCCTATTAGCCGCTCCGCCCACTGGGGGCGGGCACACAGGACTGGGCAGGAGCGCTCTTGATTCCGTCAGGCACCATCTTGGAAAAGGGCGGAAGTGTTGCTGTGCAGCCGCTACCCGTAATAACGGCTCCCCGGGGGGGGGGGGGGGGGCTGGGGGGGGGTGGCGGCGCAGGTGAGGGCTGGGGGCGCGCGGGGCCCCTACCCGCCCTTCCCGGAGGGGTTGGTGGCTGCTTCGGGGAGGAGATCGGCGGGATCTCGCTCACGGTGGCCGGTCTCCCTGCCTGGGACTTGCGTTGGCCTGGGGCCGTGTCCCTTCGGCCCTCCTGGGAGGTTTTCAGGGGGCTCCGGCTGGCCACGAAGTAGCTGCCTTGAACGTGGAGAGCTGCGGCTGGCTGGTAATCACCTCCGATCCCTGCGTGTAATTAAGATGAAAGTGCCGAATCCCCGGGGCTGATAAGGTGTCCCTTCTAGCGTGGTGAACGCTGGTGTTTTGGATAGCGCAACAGCTCCGAACTCAAGTGACTACTGAGGAAAGGTGAGGCTTTGGGGTGTCTATCAAGCCACAGCTTATCTATTTTCTGTATTTATTTTTGTAGTGCCTCTCTGTAATAGACAGGCCGGGCCTGGAAGGCCACGTGTGTGGGATGAGTTGTCTGCTGCACTGGGCCATCTTTGCGCTCATGGGACTGCTTTTTGCGAGAACGATGGCTTGGACTTCAAGTGGGAAGACGCACCCTGAGCTAGTCAACAACCTGTACAGTGAGTAGCAGCCTGAGGCTCTGTTCAGGGCAATATTTAAAGCTGCTGATACTTTCTTGGTATTTATAAGGGTATTTAATGTCACACGGTGGCGGATTATAATGCTGCTCCTCTGAAGCATCTGAGCTGGTATCACATGAATGTCAGTGCTTGTCCCAGTTTGAACTTATTCTATTTATAGTTGGAAACAAGATGTTATGCCAGAAATAGCAGGGAAGACTAACCATGGCCTTCCTTCCACTCCCCCTGAAATGATAAACGAATGACAACTCTTTAAAATGCTGCAGAACATCATTGTCAGCCTCCTGAGTTTCTCTGCAGTCTGTGTCACCTCTGTGTAGATGTCTTGAGACTGAAGCAGTGCTTGGTGCTACTGTAATGTTCTGAACAGCAGTCTGGAGCATACTTCAAAGTAGCTTTAAATTTCCTCTGCTGCTGAAGTCATGGTGGTTTTCCCCCTGCAAGAGTTCCCTCAAATCTGAGAAATAAAGGAACGATGAATATTTCTGTAGTCATTGATCTTAACTTCAGTTCCTTTATCCAAAGTGTTCTTTAAACCTGGACTGAAGCTTCCATGCTCAGGAGTGAAAGTGAGACTCTCTAGTTACTGTTCATTGCGTTGGACAGTTGCAGAAATATTGTGGTTGCAACTAACCTTCCTCTGCAGGAGACTGTGCTAATGGTTGAGATTATCACATGATTTGATTCTGTTAACCATAAATTGAAAAACACACTGTTTTATTTGCAGTTTTCTGGGTTTCTCTTTTTTGTCTGTTTTCGAATCACTTATTTAGGGACTCTAAGTTTTACTGCCAGTTCCCTGAACTGTGTGCCCTTCTAGATCTCTTCATGCTATAATCCTCATGGCTTTGCCTTCTCTTTCTTTCTCTCTCTGCCACAGAAAAAGGCATAATTAAATCCCAGCAGGTTTTTGATGTATTGCTGGCTACTGACAGAGGTCACTACATCAAGTATTTCCCATACATGGATTCTCCTCAGTCTATTGGTGAGTAACTTAAGGCAGGACATATTCACTTTTAAGGTGTTTGCATTGACTGTGCTAGTCCCAGTAATATGGGGGCCTGAGATGGATTGTCAGGACTGAGTTGCTACATTTTCTCTCCTTAAAATAGTGGCTATGTTTTAACATGAGTCAAATAGATGAATGTCCCTTCCTGTTTTAGCAGTGCAACTGCCTTGGATCAACTTGTGATCTACTTCACTGGAGGAACTGAACATGCACCTGCCTGCTAAGGGCTGAACCTTGCACTGGATTCTTACCACTAGACAGCATTTCCATATTCAAAATCTTCACTGCTTGCTATGAATTATGCTTATGGAGCAGAAACAAAATGTAGGCTATGACAGACAGCTGAAGAGCATTTTGGTGAATGAGCCAGGAGGGCCCTGGAGATAGCAAGAATCAGCTGCCCTGCTCCCATTAGCAATCTGATGGGGGCAAATTCTAGGTCAGGGAAGTGGATTAGTGAGGTCAAAGAGTCTTCCGATACTTTTTTAGAGGTCTGGGGAACAGAATAAGATGCTTTTCACATTGGTGGTGATGATGATAATTAGTTGGATATTGTCACCTTCATTTCTTACCAGCATTTAACTTTGTCACTTGTTTCCTTTTAGGATACAAGGCTACAATCAGTGCACCACATATGGTGAGATGGCTCTTTCCACTTGTAATGGAAATGGAGAAAATTGTTGTCATATATATATATATATTTTTTAACTTGAATATTACAGTATGAAGGCAAAACAGGTGGCCTGTGCATGATTATTGTGCTTATTTCTTTAGGTACTGTATATGTGAGGGATTTTAATTTTTTTTTTTTTTTGCTCAGACAACATTCTGTGTTACTGGTTAACCATTAACATTGTTGTGTTTTTGTGCAAGACCTTTCTTCTATTTCCTATTCAATTACTGAAATGCTTCCCAAATGCTCTTCTGCAACAGATGTTTCTGATTGAGCACTCAGGCTCTGAATTGTCAGACAAAATGCAGACCTGCTGTATATAAATCTGAGCAGATAATGCTTAGTGTTCTAAGCATCTGAGTAACTAACAGTCTGGGGAGGAATAACGGTGTAAATTGCATTTACACAAAGCTATTTCTTTCTCACATACCCTGCAATGTTACACACTTGCTTGTCACTCTGGTCCATGCAGCATGCCCATGCACTGGAGCTGTTGAAGGACCAGCTCGTGGAAGGTGGTAAGGCACTGGATGTTGGATCTGGAAGTGGATATCTTACAGCTTGCTTTGCCAGGATGGTAAGTTGAGCACAGAGTACCCCTACTAATTAGTAGTGTAGGTCAGGATAGGTAGCTTGATCATGCTGTTAATTCTCCCCACACTCCCCTTTTTAAAACTTCTTCCTTTTTTTTGCGTGTGTGGTTAGCTCTTCTCTTCTCTGACCAGTATGCAGTAAAAACAAAGTCATTTTGGCATCTAAATGTCTGTTGTATCTGTCGAGGGATGTATATTAACAAAGTGTAGATTGAGAAGAGTCTGTTAATCTACTGTGTGAGTTTGTAGGTTGAATTTCCTGTTTTGTTTCTAAAGTAGTTGTAGTCTGTTCTCTAAACTTCTCTGTGTATTTTTGTAATGTCTTATTAAGCAGATTGAGTTATCCTTCTTAGGAGGCTGCTTGCTTAATCAAGAACTGGTCCTGCCAAGGAAGCTATAAGCTTTACTAAATTATTGCTTTGGAAATAAAAGATTACTAGGAATCCCCATAGGAAATGCGTGTGTATTCCATAAGTAGCTTGGGCTACTCGACCTTAAAGCCTAGGTAACACAGGATTTGCATCTTGGTCGGAAACTTGTTTCTTCCTGAATTCTCCAATACTTATGGTAGGTTGCCCTATAAAATGTGTTCCTGTACATATAGGATAATGTTTGTCTGCTCTTTCTTGTTTTCAGATGGGCCCAACAGGGAAAGCTGTGGGTGTTGAACACATTAAAGAGCTGGTACATGAATCCATCAGAAACGTCCAAGAAGATGATCCAACTTTGCTTAGCTCTGGCCGTGTAAAACTTGTGGGTGAGCATGTGTCTTCCCTTCTGTAAAGAATCATTAGCTGTGGCTGTCTGCACAACTCTGCTGCTGAAAGTGGTAGTTCTGTGTGTTAGGTCTGAGCTGCCCACCACAACGTTGCCAGAAACCTCTGGCTCAGTACTGGTCAAGAATGCTGTAAAATGAGCAAGACCTGTTTAATATTAAACCTCTGGCTGAGTACTGGTCAAGAATGCTGTAAAATGAGCAAGACCTGTTTAATCTTAAGGGTAATCTTGCTAAATATCTTATTGTGGAGTGAAGTGTGTAGTGACTGTCAATGCAGGAAGAGAATCCTCTTCAGGGGGTTATACTGTGTGTGGGTGTATCAGAACAGGGCTGATCCTGCCTGCTTTTTCCCCACTCGTAGTTGGAGATGGCCGGCAGGGATACCCTGAAGAGGCTCCTTATGATGCCATTCATGTTGGAGCAGCGGCAGCGACTGTACCAAAGGAGGTGAGAATAATTGTGCCAGATGGCTGTTGTCATTGGCTGCCTTTATCAGTGGTTGCAGTTAAAACTGATAATTAGGGAGCCACAGGAATCTCCTTTTTCTGTCTGTGTGCCAGCTTTTTATGTGGAGCTGTCAACCTTGTGCCTTGGAAGGTGTTGTGACCTTAAAAACTTCCAGCTCATCTTACTTCTGTTGCCTCTGTTTTGCGGGGCAGGAAGGTGATTTTGTTGTGACTCTGCTGATTTCTCTATTTGGCAGTTGCTGAATGAATTGAAGCCGGGGGGCCGTCTAATACTGCCTGTTGGTCCTGAGGGTGCAAACCAAGTCCTGATGCAGTACGACAAAACCAGCGACGGGCAGATTGTTGAAACCCAACTGATGGGTGTCATCTACGTTCCTCTCACAGACAAGGAAAAGCAATGGCCTCGGTAAAAACTTCCTCCCTCGAGGAATGCGTCTCCTCCCGGCTATCCCTGTGACCTTGCTTTCCTTGACTCTCGGCATTACTGAAAGATTTCTGAAATCTTAGCAGATGCTGTTTGTAAGAGAAGGAAGAGGCTTGGCTGGTAAGGCCCAGAAGGAAAGTAGTTAGATAGGGATCACAGACTGACTGGAATCCACTTTCACAAGTGCTCTATCTGTGTCCATTTTTGTCACCGAGCCCCAGGCAAACCTGTGATAGTAACTCTTGGTTTTTCTTTGCCTCAGGGATGAAATCTGATGGATGGATATCTAGAGTGACCTCAGAAAGCTCATGAAAGGGACTTGAGACATTAGATGCACGTGTGGGGTTTTTTTTTTGGGGGGGGGTTGTTTTTGGGGGGTTTTTGTTTGCTTTTCTGGAAAGTTTATCAGCCGGCATGCTGGCAAAGGCAAGTCCTGCTTTTAAAGAGCTGGTTGCAGAAGGATGGAGAGGGAGCGCTTGTCCCAAGCCCATGCCTGCTTCTACACTGCGAGTTGATTTGGGGAAGTCCAGAAATCCTCTTCTGATAAATTACTAGCAACAGCTCTTTGCAGAGAATTTCCAAACCAGACTGAAATACTTAAAACTTCAAAAAAAATCTTTAAAATACTGACTGCTTCACCTAATGCTTGACGAAAAAAGACATAACCGATTTACCAAAACCGCCTTGCGAGAGCGTGTTTTATTCTCGGCCGCTTGAATCGCAGCGCGCGCCGGGATCCCAGTTCCTCCGGGATTTGGGAA